ATCGACTGTCTCACACAACTCACTGAGCTCCCCTGGTGACTGCTACTGCTACTACTTATCTGTGGGAGAGTCTATTTACAATAGAATAGGTACGTTCCGGTATAACAATTATCAAGCTCTGTATCAAGGAAGTAACTCCGGGGATGCTCTATCTGTATCATAGTCATGAGAGAACAAAGTAATGTACACTGTCTTTTGGGATAGGAAAATCCTGGATTCCCTAGATCTTTGAGAAATCATGAAACTCTATTGCAGTGTAGCACTAAGCCAACGATTTCTAGATTTGGGCTAGAGAAGAAAACAATCTTTTGTTTGTAAAATGAAAATGCCAAAATTCATAGCAATCTGGAGGCTATGAATTTTTGTTTTGACTGGACTCTCCTATGGGCAGGGTTGGTGCAAGCATCTTGTGTTCGCACCCCCACCCAACCAAATCTATGTAACAGGGTCCTCCATGGTACTAAATCTCATAAGGCACTATTCAACTATAAAATACAAATTTTATTATAGTCTATGTACAATAATGGATCATATGCAATATAGGTGAACAATTCAGCTATAAAAATTGAAAATAAGTACAACTTAGATACATGTCGTAATAGGTCATTCCATCATAAATAAATCAACAATGTTTTGTGGCAATTTTTAATATCAACTTGAGATTTTTTGTATTAAAAATTTGAATAATTTAACACATTCAAAATTATCAATAAAAAATAATGAATTTTATACAGATTTTTTTGAGACATAACAGGAGAATTTTTTTATCCTTTAATAGTCAGTAATGGTTAGTTTAATTTGTAATGTATATAAATGCAGAGTAAAAAGCAAATGCTGATAAGATAGCAAGCATTACAAAGCACTGCTCGGGACCCCCAATCAAGCTGCCCTCCCCATCAAAGATTTTGGGGATAGTACATGCCAGCCCTGCCTCTACCAAACCTAATTGAATCTGTTGATGTCCAACATTTATTTGTCTAGAATGATGAAAGAAAATGGGAAAAAAGAAAATTTTTTCCTGAAAATGATGTTATCATTGCTGCTATTAAAAAATCAACTGTCATTGTGGGTAGAGATTTTTATAAGGACACCATTTAAGTTTTTGTTCATCACTAATGAAGACTATCAAACAGTGTTAACGTTGTCACTGCAGCTGTTGAAATTTCCATAGAGCTAAATAGGAGGCATTACTTTTAAGGTAAAAAGGCATAGTCAATGTTAGTAACTATCCAACAGTCTTTTTGAGCCTCCTGTATCTGTTGTAATTTCCATGGAAGCATTTCTTATGGAGAAACACTTGAATGTGTATGTGTATGTATATATATATATATATATATATATATATATGTATAAGTGTGCAGGTATGCAGAAAATAGAAAAGAACATGTTGGGTGCATAATCCGGAGTTCCTTAGTATTTTTTTTTTTTTTTTTATTTTTAAGAAGACAGTGCTCCATACAGAAGTAGAGCTTATATTATAATATTTTTTTTGTTTAAAAATATGATTCCTTCGCTACATAAGAGTTCTCATGTTTCAAAAACAATTATTTGGATAATTTTAATAATTATTTGGATGGTTTCGTTTCTCGTTTTTGAAACATGAGAACTCTTATGTAGCGAAGGAATCAGTTTTAAACAAAAATATTATAATATATTATATATATATATATATTGGCAGCATGTTGTTATTAAGGCATGTGTTGTTAAAGACTATGGAACTTTTTCATTTAATAATCTTTTTTTCAGTTTTTTCTTGTAAGTTTTTTAATATTTGGGTTTAAGTTGTTGACATAAGACCCTAGTACAACGTGTTTTGCTGAGTGCTTTTGTTTATTATCAACCGTCATTATGGCTGTATGTTTTGGTTTGAAATAGGTTGCTTATTATTATAGTTTTATAAATAATATTTTCGGTATTTAGACAATGTGGTTGGATTAGTTCATCTTACTTATTATAAAACGCAGATTGTGTGTGTGTGTGTGTGTGTGTGTGTACGTTTATATATTGGATCGGATTTCCTACATTTTTCAACCGATTTCAACAAAACTTCACAGGATTATGTAAAATTACCTTGCGGTGGTTCTAACAGTGCCAAAAATTGGAAAAACACAATTGTTTTTGCATGAAATCAATTTGATAACACGATTAAGAGTCATCGTGAGAATGAAAGGGGGACAACTCATATCGAGTTATACTTATTATAAAACCCAGGTTGTTTGTGTGTGTGTGTGTGTGTGTGTGTGTGTGTGTGTGTGCGCGCGTTTATATATGGGATCGGATTTCCTACATTTTTCAACCGATTTCAACAAAACTTCACTTTTTTTTTGGCAGGTAGTGTTTCTTATTGTCTTGCACACTTTTTTTCTTTATTTTTACATTCAGAATGCTTTAAAAATTCCATTTACAAGACAATTGTTTATAATAAAATTCTATTCAATCGGTAGACTCATAACAATTGAAAACAATGTTCTTGTTTGAGTTTGGGTTTGACCAATTCGTAAGAAAGCAAAAAAACAAAAAAAAAAAAAACTAATTAAGACATGCATGTCCATCAACCAAAAACAATAATCTTTGTCAATTTTATTTTTCAGTCTTTATGATGGTTGATATTGATCTATCTCTTACTGTTACATCTCCGGGCAACGCCGGGCTCTACTGCTAGTTATTAATAAGGAGGGGTGTTGGTATTTATTATTTGGAGGATTAGTTATTAAATATTTTGCTGCCAGTATTAAATGCTATTTTATTTATGCTGATTTTTTAGGTCTTTAATTAGGATGGCTTCAAGAATTTGCAATTGTTTTTATACAGGATTTTGATGTTAATTAAGATTTTTTTTATTTCAGATGATTTGAATGTGTTACTAGTAGTGCAGTGTGTTGTTACAAGATGATTTTTTATGGTGCTGAAGTTAAGGTGGTATGTGAGCCTACGTGAAAGAGTTGTGGTTGTGTGTCCGATGTATGTTCCAGGGTTATTATGTGGAAACACTCCCAAAACAGGCATGTACACCTTAGACTAGGGTCTTATTTCAACAATTTAGAACCAAATATTAAAAAAAACTTGTGAGAAGGCAAGAAAAAACTGAAAAATAGATTATGAAACAGAAAAGTTCCATAGTTTTTAACAACACATTTTTTGAATGTTGAAACAAGATGTACAGTTTTGTAGTGGGTATGTTCATGTTCTTATGTAACACTGCATAATATATATATATATATATATATATGCATAATAAATAAATATTTACGGTTCTACTCTTGTATTGAGCCCTGTTTTAAATTAATATTTTGAACGCTAAAATCTTACTCTTTGTTCTTTTACATTTGGATATATGATAAAAAGATAGTTTTAAGGTATGCTATATTTATGGGTAAAACTGCTCAATATCAGAGATACATGTAAATATAAATATAAAAGTGGACAATGAGGTCAACACCTAGCCTGAACATAATCTTAGCCTGAAACAGGAAACACACTGTTGACGCTTGATGTTGACCTCAGTGTCTCCTTATATATATATTTACACTATTCGGACTGTTGTCATTATCTTTACTGCCATATTCACAAGATTTCACCTGTTGTACACTTCTTCAGGTGAGATTAGTTGGAATTTTGAACTGAAACTTATATATATATATATATATATATATATATATATATATATATATATATATATATATTACACACACACATATATATATGCGAGTGCGATGGATAAATTGTCGCCTAAATTATGCAAAAATGAAATTAACATTGACATCTCATTTTAACAGATGTATTTACCAAAATTTGACAAAATCTTTGTATTGGAGCTTTTGGCATGAATGCCAAGCAGAACAGCATTCCATTTCCAAATTTCTAGCAGAGTGAATTGTGTCATGGTGCTCTTTTTCTCACAGATGGTGCCGTCAACATAATCAGAAACAAACAATGCACAAAATTAAAAATATAAAAATGGCGACAATTTACCCATCGCATTCTGCATGTATATGTGTGTGTGTTTATATATATATACACACACACACCTGTCCAAAGCAGAGGTGAACAAAAACATGGAGAGTTGAGTTACCAAAGGGAATTAACTGAAACTGAGATATCCAAAAGGTATGGCATGTGGAATTAGAACAATCTCCCCCCACCCCCCGGGCTAAATAAAGGGTTTAGATAGAAATTCCAACTAATATTACCTGAAAAAGGCTGAAGTGTACAGTAGCTGAAACATCATGAATATGGCAATAAAAATAAGAACATCAGTCTGAACAATGTATATAGTTACAATATCTCAAAAATATAGACACACACATATATATATATATATATATATACACGTGTTTGTTTGTGTGTGTGTGTGTCACACACTTACTTTTTGTGCAACGCCACATGTATGGGAGTCCCCAATGAGACGTGAAGTCATTATTTAGTAATAATGATATTTAAAGCCAGTTTGTTAATCATGTTAACCATTTCTCTACAATGAAAGACATATGTGAAAAAATTGAAATGTTATTCATAAATCTATACCAAGACTGAGACATCAAAAAACTGTTAATTCCCAGCTATAGCTGCGGACATCAATGTGTGCCTCTGGCCCTAAAGTGCTGTTTGCAATATGAGCCTCCAAGCATCAGATTTCAGATATTCATTATTACCAACTTCCACACCATAAGATTGGGGAACTGGGAATTTTTGCTTGCTAATTCACACAGTGTATTTTCTATTGCATTTATATTAAATCATTTTGAAATGATAACACAGCACAAGGGAATAATCCAAGCACATTAATAGCCTTAATTTAATATGATATGGTCAACAAACAAGATTTACTTAAGGTCTGTTTCCTTTTGTGACTACATTTGCTTTTCCAGATGTAGATAAAAAAAACTTCCGGTCGGGTGTGCACGAAAAGAAATAAACACATTCTGACAACATTGGGAAATAAAATATCTTCGTTTCTCACTTGCTCGTTAATTTTATCATTGAAATATTTAAAGCCTTACCGTCTCTTTCCCGTTTGGACTTTTCCTCAATTGAACCATTTCGGATTTAAGATCATTGCCAAAAGAGAGGTTTTGAATAACCTGTTGTCAGAGAAGGAAACATATGGAAAAGAAAGAAAAAAAAACATTTTCAGAAGAATAAAAACAAATAAATAAAAATGAAACAGATGGATACACATTGTTACACTTGGCAAATATAACCTTTTTTTAATTATATTAATTTAAATAACATAGTGCACCAAATCTATATTAAATATGAATAAATATCAATTTTACCAATTTAGTTTTATGGAACTTCATTTAAGCCTTAAAATCATAATAATTAAAAAGTCATCTTTGTGCAAAATTGATTATTTCATTAATACTAATGCAAACTAAAATATAAAATAAAAATAAAAAATAAAATAAAAAATAAAAATAAAAAATAAAATAAAAATAAATAAAATTATTAATTTTACTAAGTTTCATAAAATTATTAATTTTACTAAGTTTCATAAAATCCTATAGGATAAAATAAAAAAAAATCTTTAACTATTAATTTTATGAAGTTAAATATAATTTATTTTCAAACATAAATAAAATTTCTATAGTAGGCCTGTTCTTACACATGCTTTTTAAATGTTAGGGACGACAGTAGAAAACTACCATTCCTGACCAATGAACTTGATGACAGCTCACCCTTCAACCATGCATAAATGAATGTTATTTTAGCTATGGTTTAAGCAAAAAGTAAGCATCACTTTTACAAAACAAAGTCAATTCACCCCAAGTAAGGCAACAAAGCCACTAAAATGCAGGTGTGTTAATGAGTGTGAAAGAATATAGAAAAAGAAAAACATTAAGGAACAAGCACAATAAAAGAACAGGATTAAAAAGACTGAGGCTAATGATTTGCATTTAAATTTTTGAAGAAGGGAAGCAAGAAACACAAAGAGAGTTTCACAAGTGAGAAATGTAAAAAAAGAAACTGTTAGCATAGAACTTATAGTTACATCTAGCCATTTCAACTTTAAAACAATGAGTGAGACCTACCTGCCAATCTAGTACTACACTTAAATTCATAATCTAGATTCCAAAGAGGTGAGTTCATCAAAACAATTACCATGAGTAATACTTACATTTACTTTGAAACAAATCTCTAAGAAAAATATTGAATTTTTAAGAAATTTTTAAATTTGTTGGTTTCATTTTTTTTGTCAATAATGACAGTTTGATGTGTTATGAGTAACTGTGCCAATATTTTAAAAACTTTATTTAAATATGTAAAATTTCTTTTTTTACATATTAGCTTTGTGCTATCATGAAAATTTTTTAAAAAAGCTAATTTTTCATGATTTCCTAGTAAAAAAGGAAAACGCCCTACTGGCGAAAAATAAAAAATCTGGTGTCTTTTCAACAACCTCTCACCATGAAAGCATTTAAAAATGGACCTTCTCCGGGGAATGAAGACTAAAGATAAGTTTTACTCAAATATTACTTCCTCATATTGAATATGATTTTTTAATCATAGACTTATCAAAACAAAATAATTCCCTCATTCAACAAGACAACACAAATAGAAGATTTAACATCCACATAACAAGAACTTTTAATTATTGAAACAACCAAACCTGATAATAAATCCTTATATATTTATGTATAAATGACTCACTTTGTTGTTATGATGTATATCTGGATATTCTACTAACCACTAAAACAGGAGTCATACAAGGTCCATCATAACAAGCTATTATCTTTCAAACTTCAAAGAAGACATTTAAATCATTTAAAATATGTTTTTAAGTTTTTTTTGTTTTTAATAAGTACACAATTTACACAAAGCTAATAGTAATAGAAACAGAGATAGTGAAATTGTTTTGTATCTATTTACATTATTTGGACTATTTTCCTCATCTTTGTCACCATATTTATTACAATGTTTCGGCTGTTTCATTGCAATATGAGCACCAGTAAAAAAAAGATTGCTGAAGACATTAGGTTTATAATACCCAGAAATTCATCCACAAATGTCCTCAAGGACACATGGCACAGTGGATAAAGGCATTAGTTATATCCAGTGACAGGACCTAAAGGATGTGAGTTCAATACCTGGTTAAGGCGGTGGAGAACTTGGAAATGAACAGGAGATAACTGACATCCATTAAAAACTAGAGTGAGCGAAATAAAGGGTTCAGTTCGACATTCCAACTACCTGAAGAAGGCTGGAACATTGTAATAAATAAATATGGCAACAAAGATGAGGACAATAGTCCGAATAATGTAAATAGTGTACATAATACCTCATCTCAGAAATATAGACAGATACTGAAAGGCCGAAATGTTGTAATAAATATGGCAACAAAGATGAGGTCAATAGTCCGAATAATGGAAATAGTGTACATAATACCTCATCTCAGAAATATAGACAGATACTGAAAGGCCGAAACATTGTAATAAATATGGCAACAAAGATGAGTTCAATAGTGCATATAATGTAAATAGTATATTTCTAACTAGTAATGGACTGGTCCCTCTTATATAAGTCAGCTCTGGGGAGAGAGTCAGAGTCAGCAGTCCGGATAAGCTTACCCGGTACATACCGTTGGACTATAGACTTTGGATATTGTTTCGTACTAACCAACCTTCGTTCTACTAATCACTCTATTGTTAATTGCTTTTATGAATATACCAGTATTTTTCTCTACAACTGTGTTTGTCTTGATTCATACACCGACACGCGGGAAACTCACAACATCTCAACAGTATACATAATACCTCATCTCAGAAACATAGACTGATACTGAAAGGCTGAAACGTTGTAATAAATATGGCAACAAAGATGAGGACAATAGTCTGAATAATGTAAATAGTGTACATAATACCTCATCTCAGAAATATAGACAGATAATGAAAGGCCGAAACGTTGTAATAAATATGGCAACAGAGATGAGGACAATAGTCCGAATAATGGAAATAGTGTACATAATACCTCATCACAGAAATATAGTCAGATACTGAAAGGCTGAAACGTTGTAATAAATATGGCAACAGAGATGAGGACAATAGTCCGAATAATGGAAATAGTGTACATAATACCTCATCACAGAAATATAGTCAGATACTGAAAGGCCGAAACGTTGTAATAAATATGGCGACAAAGATGAGGACAATAATCCGAATAATGGAAATAGTGTACATAATACCTCATCACAGAAATATAGTCAGATACTGAAAGGCCGAAACGTTGTAATAAATATGGCGACAAAGATGGGGACAATAGTCCGAATAATGTAAACAGTGTAAATGATACCTCATCTCAGAAATATAGACAAATACTGAAGGGCTGAAATGTTGTAATAAATATGGCAACAAAGATGATGACAATAGTCCGAATAATGTAAATAGTGTACATAATACCTCATCTCAGAAATATAGACAGATACTGAAGGGCCGAAACTTTGTAATAAATATGGCAACAGAGATGAGGACAATATGGAAATAGTGTACATAATACCTCATCACAGAAATATAGACAGATACTGAAAGGCCGAAACGTTGTAATAAATATGGCGACAAAGATGAGGACAATAGTCTGAATAATGTAAATAGTGTACATAATACCTCATCTCAGAAATATAGACAGATACTGAAGGGCTGAAATGTTGTAATAAATATGGCGACAAAGATGAGGATAATAGTCCGAATAATGGAAATAGTGTACATAATGCCTCATCTCAGAAATATAGATACTGTTTTGTATCTGTCTTCCAAGGATCTGCAGGCATCAAATCAAAATTTGAATCCTGGGCTTTTTGTCTTGAATCATCCAATGATCTCTGACATCAGGTATCAAAACACTCTTACATCAGTGAAGCTCTCATTTTTATTTTTGAAATTCAAAGATAAAATTCTATTGATACTAATATGCAAATTTCAAGAAAAAGTATTGCCCCAAAAATATAAATTAATTCAATGACTGTTACAATAGCAGTGCTCCTAACAAAGCCTTTGTCAGATGACAACTTTGGTTTCAGGCATGGATTTGAAACCACTGCATCTGTACCACTAGACCAGGGTATCCAGGCAGTACCTTGTGATACTACCAGACTTTGTTCTCCATCATGCCATTGGTCTACTAAGTACAAGCAGATGCAGTATCTTCTCCAAACTTGAAGCTGACCTCTTTAAATATGAAAATATAAATCAGTCAGATATATGAAGGTAGAAGCGGAAATGACATTTGGCATCTGACTATAACAGGATAAGAATGAGTTGTAAAGCCAATATTTCTAACCCAGCAAATAAATAAAAAGAAAACAGTCATTTGCTGTTAAGTATAGAACTCAGAAAAACCACTGTCATAAGAAATAAGGAAGTAGAAATCAACTGTATAATTAGGGGAAAAAAGACATCATCTACTAATAAATTTTACATCATCTACTAATAAGTTTTACATCATCTACCAATAAATTTTTGCTGAACACTGCAAATTCCTACAAAACCAAAACATTAAAGTTCATGTTCTAAAGTCTACTTCAATTCTGTATTTCTAACATCACACACTAAACTCTGCAATGTTATTTACTATTTATTTTTATTTATCTATCATCTGATTTACCCTCTTTTCCTGGTCTTTCAAACAGGAGTAGAGGTTTATCCCACATTTCCTGTTTAGGATTGGGTTTCCGGTTCTTTCTAAAGTCTACTTCAACTTTATACTTCTAACATCAAATGCTAAACTGTGAAATTTTATTTACTATTTATTTTTATTTACCTATCGTCATGTTCAAAAACCTCCCTGGTCTTTTGAACAGGAGTAGAGGTTTATCCCGTGTTTCCTGTTTAGGATTGGATTTTGTTTCCTTTTAAAGTTTTTTCTCATTTTTTTTTTCACTCACAATAACCTCTTGAATCTTAGTTGTATTTTTAACCTTGCTTGGGGTGATTTAAAAAACATTTAAATTATATTATAATTTTAATTGTTTTAAACATTTATGTAGATATAAATTTACAGTAGTCAGCCATTTCTTCTTCTAAAAGTCACAATTTTTGTTACAGACCTTTTTTGTGCAAGCAATTAAAAAAGATACAAACAAAAGAAA